CTGACTGTCTCGGAGTTAAGCCTACAATCCTCCAATTTTCTCATGAGGACATTGTGGGATACTAGATCGAAGGCCTTTTGGAAGTCAAGGCATACAATGTCAACTTGTGCTCTCATGTCCAGGTGGCAAGTTACCTGGTCACAGGAGGAGATGAAGTTGTTAAGGCAAGACCTGCCTGCAATGAAGCCATGCTGGCTGTCATTCATGTGTAGTCTTCTTTTTTTGAGGACAAGCATTATAAAGTCAGAAATGGAGCACAACCAACTAGACACAGAGATATCCATGGACAGATGGAGTGGTATAAACCTACCGGTGATAGGTTGTTTAGGCTTTATCATTTTCTGTACTATTTTCTCTGCCACTGCAGACATTCCTAACGTTCCCTGCCATAAAGGCAATAACCTGCTTTAAAACACCTACAAAACATAACTTGGATATTGCATCCAACCACATGGCTAAACTCCCCCACAACAATTATTTTCAACAACTGACATTTCCTCCAGACTATGAAGGCAGCTAAGTGGACAAAAATAATCCTCCAATACATTCACTCTTCAGTGAACTAAGTTGAAGAACTTTGATACAAAAATGACATCTTTACCTGGACTGAGCACCTAGCCTCTCTTATGGGCTTCCACCATTATTTGAATAAGTACCATCCTTCCAACAATTTCTCTATGAAATACTTATATCAGTATCAACTTTCTAGATATTATATTTAGCAAAAAATGGCACCATACAGCCAATTATAGACATAAACAATGATGGGCCGTTACACTTTTTTCACAAAACCAGTAACCACCCCAGACTCATCATGAAGGTAGCAATCTATAGCCAAGCACACCTTCCCTTCCCCTCTGCCATATACTGGCTCACTGATGTGGTAAGTATTTTGCTTACATTGTCTTTATCTAAAGACATACCACTGGGAAAAGAGACCATGTCCACTCTGTGTGGACCTACAATACTAACAAGAAATCCCCCACTGACTGCATAGCCTTGATTTTCATATGCTATCCCCTCCTGGAACAGTGTAAAGAAAGATCTTTAGTGACAACTTACATTCATACCTAGTAAAATGTCCGCAGGGGACCTCCTGGATTTAAAAACAACTCTACAACTCAAACACTTCTTCAGAAGCAAACTCTCCACTAACTCAACACCAAAGGGAATCGCGACTTGCTTAGACAAAGGCAAAGTGTGCCAACACATCTCCACTGCCACCACGATTGACAGCAATAAAGATCACCAGAATCCCTGGATCCTAGACCTCACAGTTCAAAGTTCTTGTCCTCAAAGAAAACTGCACAATACTTAGAGAATATGAACCTGGGCAGAGAAATTCAGACTACTGAATGCTGGAAATTGCTCATTGGGAGACACCTGCTCATTACAAGTTACCTTTCATCTGTAGGGGATTACTTCCCACTTCCCTTTCAACTAGTCAGATTTATTAACACATCTTTTAAACTAAAGCTTTTATTCTAATGGGTACTTATTATTTTGACCAGATCTGTGCAAATTCTGGGCAACTGGGGCAAGAAGTAGGAGCTGCATGAGGGAGGAGCCGCATGAGGGAGGAGCCAGGAGACCCCAGCAACAGCACAATGTGGGGAGCAACACCCAGACAAGGAACGGAGATCAGACAGCTTTGGTTTAGACCATAACTCCTCCTTTTCAAGGCCTGATGAAGGGCACTTAATGTGCAAAATTACCTGATCAATCTCCCAACTATGCTAGTTGGTCCAAAGGAGATATTAACTCACCTAATAAATCTTGCTTCTCTTAATATTGTAACTGGTGCTCCAGGGATAAGAGACTGGAATGTCCTTGCCACTTTAATCTTCTGTAGAATCTGGTTATTAAAAAAAAATCCAAGGACCACGTATACATACACTTAGAACTTCCAAAAGTGTACACTCAGGACCTTACTGTGTGCATGAAGTCAACCAGCACCCGATAGTACAAAAGGAAAGGATAACATTATTTTAAACAGCAGAAATGTTATCTTCGGTGTCTAGTTTTAACTGAAGGCTATAGATGGTCTTTGAGGATGGCTTGTGAAATCTAGATTTTAAAGGAGAGCATGTACCAACTATATACTGATATCCCTTTTCAAATATTAGAGAAATTTAAATAGAAATTAACAAATCCACATCTCTTTTCCCCTTGCAGTTGGCTCAGCTTTCATACAACTAGCCATTTTCCAGGAATCGAATTTCAGTTGAAAGAGTCGGAATGGAAGAGCACCTACCACTTTATTCTATTTAAAAACGCTTTTCCAGGTCACTTTTTTTTTTTTTTTTTTTGGTATATAG